TGTGGCTGCGCGCCTGCGTGCTCCGTAAGTGACACGTTGGAACCAGCCGGTGAGGAATAGGGTAAGCTCTCAACCGCCTGACCAATTGGTCATTTCCAACCAGCCGGGAGGAAAAGAGGCGCTGCAAAAAAACAATTAAACAAATTGTCCCACAAGTTGGAACACAGGGTTTAGGGTCTGTGAGTTCTCCCTCCTTGGAAAGGCCTGTGGACAGTGCCCCTAAACGCAGAACCCTAGGATTCTGATGTTCCAAGCTTCTGATTCCTCGGCCCTAAGCGTTCCCTAAACCCTAAACCCTAAACCCTAGACCCCAACTACCCATTCAATGACGTCTACTTAGGTCATCCTAGGCTCTATATTCACGTAGACTCTATACCCTACCCCTTACATCCCCCCTAAACGCTGAACCCTAATCCCTAAACCCTGAACCCCAATGCCTAAACCCTATATTGCTGGGGATGAATTTTGGAGCACCTCCTGTGGATGTTTTGTGGGCGGCGCCCGCAGACAAAATAATCATTTGAAACTTCATGGGACTTCGTAACTATTTATACCTGGCTAAGGGTCTAGGGGTTTAGATTTTAGGGGCCTGGGGGCTACAGGAGTCCAGCTAAGGGGGAGGATATGGTGTCTCCCTCAGGCTTGCCCCGAAGCTCCAAGTCTCCAATTGGTAATGGTACCTGCCTCAAGCCTTGAAAACCAGAGTATGTAATGTCTTTCGACCCTAACTTCTATACCCTAAACCCTAAACCCTAAGCCCTAAGCCCTAAACTCTATACAGTACCTGATTTGGGTGAGGAATGTTCCACCACCCCGTGGGCACAGAGACGGTGTAGTCATGTTCTCTTGTCCCTAGATTTTCCGCGCGCTTGGCGCAGAAGTAAAAGTTCGTGCGGCTGAAATAAGAAATCAAATCCCTACACCCCAAACTCCGAAACGCTGCACCCCCTAAACCCTAAACCCTACCAGAACCCCGCCACTGCCCCGAGATAAGGTCTCTCTAGGTCCTATGGGTGAGCCACTGTAGAGGGTACTTGGGGGGGGTTCTAAGCAAGGCCCAAAACCCTAAACCCCCCTAAACCCTAAACCCTAAACCCTAGTCCCCTAAACCCTGACCTCTCAACCTCAGACCTGAGACCCAGCCCTTCAGCCTCAAAGGCGCTATATGCGTCAGCCCTAAACCCCGAACCCCCAAACCCTAAACTCCAAACCCTAAACTCCAGACCCCAACACCCCAAACCCTAAACCCCTAAACCCCAATCCCCAAGCCCCAAACCCTAAACCTTAAACCCTAACCCTAAACCTTAAACCCCAACCCCTAAACCCTAAACCTTAAACCCCAAAACCTAAACCCCAATCCCTAAACTCTAAACCCTAAGCCCCAAACCCTAAACCCTAAATCCTAAACCCCAAATCCTAAACCCTAAACCCTAAATCCTAAACCATCAAACCCTAAGCCCCAAACCCTAAATCCTAAACCCTAAACCCTAAAGCCTAAACCCTAAACCATAAACCCCTAAACCCCAATTCCTTAATCCCAAGCCGAGGCCCCTGGCAAGGTACGAGTCCTTCACCTGCTGTATCCCTGGCATGTTTTGCCAGGCGTGGTTGGTGAAGGGTTTAGGGTTCAGGATGTAGGTTTAGGATCTAGGGATTAGGGTTTAGGGTTTAGGGTTCAGGATGTAGGTTTAGGATTTAGGGATTAGGATTTAGGATTTAGGGTTTAGGGTTTAGGGTTTGGGGTGGTCATAACCCCTTGGTTAAAGTTTTGAGGATATATTGTTAGCCAATCGAGGGGGAAGCTATGAGTGTAGCATAGGGGGAGTAGTAGGGGAACCCATGATGAATAGAGTAACTGTGATTCTCATGCTCGGGTAGAAGTGAGGCCGGTTGTCGTGTTTGATGCTGATTTCCTGTACCTGTTCCTTACATCAAGATTGGAACTGCTAGACATGTATGTGTTGGATATATGGTGCACACATCTCAGACAACTACAACCCAAAGCCCTAAACCCGAAACTGTCATGCATATCATGTGGAAACCAGCCTGTGTCCGTCTCTGGAGATGCCAAAGCCAACTGTCACGCTGGAGGCTCACGAAACATCACCTGTTCTGCTGTTGTTGTTTATTTTCCAGGATTTCCATACTCCATCTTTGCACTTTTCCAAGAAAATTGCGGTCCCCTTCGTACATCCACAGCACCACAATCCTGACAGCGCGTGATCCCGAAAGTAGACCCCTAATTTTTTGCGAAAGCGCACATATCCTCAGGGTCCTGCCCATGTTTAGACGGCTTGCCTCTACGCCAGATCTGGACTCTGCGGAACTGAGCCCCTGAACTCTACACCCTAAGCTCTAAACCCCTGTGAACTCTAAACCCCACACCCTAAAGCCTGACCTTTTAGGGTCCCGTCCTCTGTGCTTGTTGTCTAGACCCTCGAAACCAAGGGTATCGTAGGGTCCAGGGCACTTTTTAACCCTGCACTTTATCTAGTCACCTTTAAACTTAGGGGTTCGGGTTTAGAGGTTGATAGAGTTTAGGCTTTAGGGTGTAGGGGTCAGGGTTTAGGGTTTGGGGTCTAGGGGTTTAGGGTTTAGGATGACATTCAGTTTCTTGTGGGACTTGGAACAGGGCGGGCTTTTCATGGACACGGGTCAGGAACTCGAAGCACCGGTAGCCCAGAGGCCACGGTTTGTAATTGCAATAAGGAAGACAATAACTCTTCAAGGGGCCCTCGTTGAAGATCACGCTTGTGGGCGAGCAACGGGTTGAGGGAGACATTCAGGGCTTTCGAAGAACTATTGGGTCCCTATTTCAGGGGCTCCATAAGCAGAATTACAGCAACATGGGAGTACGTGCGGTCTATTTCTGGAAACTCCTCTTTAGACCAGGATCAACTTGCGAATGACATGTAGGTATATAACTGGCGCCCACAGAGTAAGTTGCATTCTTGTATCAAAACATATTACGTGGCATGTTATTTCATGGTACCTAGACGGCGCGTAACTTGAGAGCAACCCAGGTGATGTTGGTTCCTTTATATCTGCCCTGCAATGCAAAAGATTGCTCCTCCATACCGATGTTGCTGAATGCCGCTTCCCGTATTTTGAATTCCTGACACACTAAACCATCACAAACCTTGAAACTCCCAAACCCTGAAACCGTTAACCGCATCAGAGACCTGCATAGAGCCATTCCGGTTTAGGGGTTTAGGGTTTCAAAGTCTACGTGAACCCTACACGCAGTTTGTAGTGTTGATGATCATACTCCCCCACATCTGAGTTCATCAGGGCCCTGTTTACATGGGACCCCGACACCCCGTTTAAATTCCACAGATTTAAGGGTGTTCTCAAACAAAATTGGGTGGTTTAGGGTTTAGGGGTACTTGGTTTGGGGTCTTGGGGGTCCGTATATCTATAAGGATTATAGTATTTGGCGGTCTATATCGGGTCCCTCTATATGAGATACTACAATCTGGCTACGAACCCGAAGGGCCTCCCTGCCTTGCGAAGCCAAACTCATCCTTTTGCCGTTAGCTAGTAGGGAGTCGAATAAGGGAATATGTTACGGGTCATTCTCTAGCTTATGGAACCCTTCTGTTGATAAGATATATTTCGACACCTAACCGGTACTAAAATGGGACCCGAATTGTTGGAACTACACATATAATCCCTACACAATCCCAGTATAACATATTCCCTTCTTCCCCGGTCACCCCAGTATGTCCTTAGAGACGATGTCCTCCTTTCCCACTGAGCAAAATGGCAAACTGCAGCTGTGGATCCAGGAAAGTCGTAGCGCCAGACCCTAGGAATTAAACCCTAACGTGATTCCCTAAACCTTAAACAGAGGGTTTGGGAGGTTTAGGGTTTAGATTCTCTAAAGAACCAAAACCTATTCCCGTAAGGCGTAGCCTAAACCCGAAAAGGAAAAACCTAAAAGTGATGGCTTTTGGGTTCGGGCCATGAGCCATCTGTATACTTGGAGGTTCATGAGACTTAGTCACTACGTACTTTGAAGGGACTCTAAGGCACTACATGGGCTCATATAAGGGCTATATTGAGGAAACCTTTTAGGGGTATATGACCTTAAGGGTGCAACCCAGGAACCATTGATTATAACCTATAACGCTATCTGTAACCCAACTGGCCTCTCAGGGGTTACTCGATTTATACGGAGGGTTCGAGAAGCCATGAGCCATCAGTATACGGAATATCGAGACTTGCTGAATGCCTCTCTCGGCCATGCTGTTGATCCTGGGTTCCTCATCAGTGACCACTTTCGCTGTTTTTTGGGGTATCCTAAGAGTCCAAGTACCCAATAATGGGGTACGGTATATACTTGAAACTTTGGGAAAAGTACTTGTAAAATAGGTTAGGGGGACGATTCTTGACAATTTGGGAAGAGTATGCGTAGTATAGGCTTCGGGGAAAAGATGCAAATATAGGGTACTTGGACCCCAGACCCTATACATACCGAATACCTGTATGGCGCTACACAAGCCCTACAGACCGCTATACATATCTCCCTTTACATGAAGCCAGTTACTGGGTACTTAGACCTTCTTTCTTTTAGTGTTGCTGGTGCTGACTTGAATCAATCCTCCTTGGCAGGCACTACACCTGGACCTCTGGCCCTTAATGATGTAGAGAAGGGTTTAGGGTTTAGGTGCGAGTTCCGTTGTTGCGTATTCCTTGGACTCTGTTTGTAGGCGCTTAGCTGTTAAGTTTTTGAATTGAGATGCAAAGTGCCCTGGTGATACGATTTCTGATGCATTTCCACCATCTGTATAACGCAGAAGCACATAGTTGCCGAGTTATGGTCCAAGATTCTTTGCATTATTATGGTAGAGGTTACCTCCAAAACGATGATATTGCTGATGATGATTTAGGCTTCTACCCTAAGCATCGAAATCACCTTAAAACCTTTGATAGTATGGTCTTTAGGCCCAGATTCCTACAAATATGAATCCTTAGATGCTTAGGGCTACAGTGCCCAGGGCTACTTGGCATCGCTGCCCGAACGGCCAGTTGAGACTGGGTTGCTGTTAAAGGAACTTAAGTTAAGTTACCATAGTGGGTATATATATATATAGTAAATAATAGGGTTTCCCCAATATAATAACTTAATCTAAGCTCCTTAAATCCCTATATTCCCCAAGTTTCCATTTCATTTTCCATGTTCTTTTCCATTTGATTCTCCATTATAGGGGGATAATATCCCTAAACCCTACACCCTAAACCCTAAACCCCCAATATAGTAACTTAATTTAAGTTCCTTAACAGCAACCCAGGAGAAGGGTGTGGCCAGCCGCGAGCTACGCTCCTCTCTCGGTGGCTTTGGTTGACTTACTACCTGTCTAGGACCTCGCGCTTTAGGGTTTAGGGTTTAGGGTTTATAGGGTTTAGGGCTCAGGGTTTAGGGTTTATAGGGTTTAGGGATGTTTAGGGGCTTTGTCAGTAAGTTTTAGATAGGTTTATGAACAGACTAACCTGAAGTAGGGGGCTCTGCCGCCCAGTGAAAATCCAGGGGACGCGAGCCTTCGATAGACCCTGAAATTGCCTACGATTACCGCAAACATACTAACTAAAGCGGACCCTCTACGGATGTGTAACCTGGTCTTGTTGAGAGGTAGCTGGAGGATCTGGGTTTTAGGTAATCCTTCCCGAAGCCCAAACAGTTTCGAACTAATGCATGACTTTGCCTCTGCTTCTTTCCAATGCTGTTAATAGCAAAAGCTAGGTTCCATTCCTTGCGTTTCCCAGATGAAGGTGCTGTAGAGCAAACCGTACCCAAGGGGACCATCAGCGGAGAAGATTTAGCAAGTACAACTTTTGGCTCACAACCGCCCGGAAACTGCCTCCTGTTCACCTGCTCTTGAAACCCCGTCTTAAACGTATTGCAGTGCTGAATAGGACATCAGTCTTCATTCAACCTGAAGAATTCTTGGAAGTTACTTCACAAAATATCCCAAGAAGGAATAGGGTTTAGGTTTCAGGGACCAGTTTTAAAGGAACGTCAAGTCATAGCAGCTGCTGTCATCCTCTGCGAACATCTTCGCTGAGGCGGTCCGCTGCCCGAAGTGCCAACGGATGCCAGGAAAGGGTTTTTGGGGATTTAGGGATGCGGGATTTAGGGATTAGGGATCTAGGGATTTAGGGTTTAGGGATTTAGGGATTAGGTTTTAGGGTTCAGGGATTAGGGATTTAGGGATTAAGGATTAGGGTTTTTTTGGATTGCAGTTAGGGCTTCTCAAAAAAAAGGGGCCCTTGGGAATTGGGGACCCTAATGCAGGAGCCTGAATATGCACCAATGCTCTTCCCCTGCAGTTCTTATATATACCTCTATACCCAGAACCCTATTCTAATTTTGGTCGTTACATTCGGGATGTATAGGAGTTACCAGGGACTAAGGATTACCCAGGGCAAAGTACTGAGAAACTCCCGTCCCCTTGAGAATCTAGAGTTTCACATAGCCGCCCCCAGGTGGATTTGTGGACCGCTGCTATAAAACCTCTTCCCTATCAGACGCAGCTGTAAACCATAAATACTTGTGGGAGCTTGTGGCCACCTGAGTACGCAGGGCCTCCAAAGTCCTCGAGTCATGTATAGGGCCCATAGTAACCCTAAACCGTAAGCCCGAGACCCCTTAACCGTAAGCACCCGAAGCCTTAAACCCCTAGCCCTAAATGCTAGCTTTAGAGCCGAGAATTTAATCCCCGCGGTGGATGGATGAAATCTTGGATCTCCAATACCTAGACCCCCAGAGTATCTAGAATAACGGCCTTTGGGCTATATTTAGGGCTTTTGGGCCGGCCATTATTTTACTGACTTTGGGGTCCAGGTAGGGTTCCAGGTATGGTCATGTATAGGATATTTTGCGTACAGGGTGCTGCCAGACTTCCTCCACCGGTTCAATCCCTAAGCCCAATGCCCAAATGAAGCTCTACATCCCAAACCCTAAGATCTACATCCTAAACCCAAAACCCCGAACCTTATACCCTAAGCCCTTAACCCCAAACCCCATGAGGATAGTCATTGACGAGCTTGCCGAAACTGCTGAGCAAGGGTTGATCGCTTCTGGTGGGCCGCGTTGCTTGGACGTTTAGAGATGAAGGCATAGGGTTGTACACAGCGTGTTCTTTGGGACCCTAAACCCTAAACCCCTAAACGGTAAACCCCTAAACCCTAAACCCGATTGCATCCCGGCCCCAGGTCTAGCAATACTAGGCCATAACGTCCACACAGCCTAAACCCTACCCTGGTTTGCTACTTGGGGCTCTAAGGTCTAAAGCCCGAAAGCGCAAACCCTGGTTTGCTGGAGGGTATGCCCTTAAACACCTAATCCCAGAACCCTGAACCCTCAACCCTAAACTCTCAACCGTAAGCCCTAAACGCTAAACGCAGTTCCTAGGCTCCAAGCATAGCCGCTGTTTGGGATATGTAGTTGCGTACGTTGGGTAGTATGCTGCAATTTTCAGGTTTTCAAGTTCAGTCGACCTTGGTTTAGTTCAGGGTCTAGGATTTAGGGTTTAGGGTTGTGAGGTTGAACTCCTTATAAGACAGGAGCAGGTTAACATAGTACTGAAAACCGCCATAGTAAGAGTAAACAGAAATATCATAGAACAATTGATACGAACATAGGTCAATTTTGGTTATGCCTGGCATGCTTGTTTTTGGCACGTTGATTTACCTGGTTGTCCATTTGGGGGGCGGGGGGGGGGGCCGGCGGTGGCTATTTTCGGTTCTATTGTTTCTATGGTTTTCACGATTTTTCAACTGTAATTGTTTTATGTTGTTGTTTGATGATGTTCCATGCTGTTTGCAGTTTTCTGTTTCCCCCCCGTATCCATGGTTGTGGCAGTTTGTGTTGTTCACATGTTTTGGGGTGAGCTCTATGTTCCGTTCTATGTTGTTTCTACTGTGGTGGTTTCGCGATGTTCGTTCCTGTTTGCTTAAGACAAATGGTTCCATTCTATGTCTATGTCTTTCTGCTTTGGTGTCTTTCTAGTCTATGTTAACCACTTCCTGTCTTAGGGAGTTCAACCTCACAAGTTCAGGGCTTCAGAGTAAATATGGTTAACAACTTCATCCCACATTATACAAAAGTTTGTCACGCATGTTGACAACTATGCCTGGAATGCCTTCATTAGGTTTATGAGTTCATAGTCTTAGTCCAGCTACCAGAGTGAGCCCGAGACAATAAGGCTACTTCGGATATGCCATTGGTGGTAGTTTTCCTGTCTCACTTGCTGCTGACTGGCTCGTCAGCGCCTGGGATCAGAATGCTCCCTACTACGTTGCTGGGTATTCGCGGGTAGTAATACTTTTGTTCCTTTTTCGGTCGTAGTGTTGGTCTCCTTGTAAAACTCATCCCGCAACCTCAGTAGTTTTCTGTGGGGCTGCTGAGCAGCTTAGGTTGCAAGTCCTGCAGCGGCTGTCATAGAGGAGACGACGGCCGAATGGTTGCTGGAACTGCTGGGTTTACCCCATACAGCTGGTGTTGGATTTACATCAGGCCTGTGAGGGCCAACTGGGGCGAGTCCCTAAACCTTAAGCCTTCAAGCTTAAAACTTAAGCCGTAAAACCCGAAACCTTAAGCCCACAACCCTAAACCTTAAGCCCTAAGCCCTAAACCTTAACCCCTAAACCCCGTAGGAGACAGAGTTATAATACCCACATATGCCTCACAGTATGATCCTGTATAACGACTCCGCCAGTCTGTGTCTACACCCTACTCATTAAGCGCTTGCTAGGGAACAAAGAAATATAGGGGTTTCGAAAAATTAGGGATACCTTTTTGGGGGCCCCATAATAAGGACTATAGTAGTTTGGGGTTTGTATTGGGGTCCCCATATTTTGGGAAAATACCGTATATTACATAGGGGTTATTTAGGGATAAGCATCCCTCATTCCCTAGTAAGCAGAAGTAGGCCTAAGGCCCCTGGAAGCCAGCTACGCATCCCCCAGGGCTAAATCCTAAACCCCATTTGAGCCATAATCTAAACTCCTTAAAGAGGGGTTATATAGGGGATTATATAGGGGACTACTATAAGGGCTATTAAGGGGGATACTAGGAGTCTAGACAATGGCTCATTTGGTTTTCTCTAAATTTCTTGAACATCCACTAATAGTACCTTATACCCTACTAAGCACCAGTAAGCATAAGATCCCCAGAAGGAAGCTCCCCATTTGGTTCTTTTTTCGGGGAAATCCCCATGATAGGTGCGCAGGAAGCCATTTATACTGCGATGATCACGGCGAGGAACACTCTCCTGAAGAGGGCGGGCTGGGATGTTGCCCAGCAGCTGGGATATCAGTGTTTAGGGTTCAGGTTTAGGGCAGTCTTCAGTAGGAATATAGGTGTTGGGGTATTCTTGCAAGTATATGCAGGAGCAGACCTCCATTTTCGACCCCCAATATACCTTAGTCAGCCCTTACTATGTGGACTCCCCGACAAAACCCCATTGTTTTAGAAACTGTCAATCGGGTAGGGGCAGTCAGGGATATATAGGGTTGTAAGGAGACTGTACGGATCAATGTTAAAAGAACAATGTCACGGTCATGATTTCTATGTGGTTCTGCAAATGGGTAGGCCGGCTAGGGCTACGGCTAGGGCTTGGGTTCACCTTCAGCCCCTGTGCTACCCCGTGATCATACATAAGTTGGCGGTTATCCATCGTTTTTTTTGTAGTCGAACATGGTCGGTAAGGAAGGGGCTTTACAACGCCCCGCGCGTGCATGTTGTGGTAAGCGATCAAATTCATTCTGCTATCAAGCGCGCGTTGTGGATGATTGGCATGGGCGAGGAGAATGTCAAAAAGCTGCCGACCGATAGGAGACTGAGTCAACGTTAGTCAGAAGGTTCAAAAGGTGAGGTAACTTATTGATTCTTATTCAGGAATAAGGGAATATAGTCCCTATATAACCACTACATAATGCCTCATGTTCCCTTATTCCCTACTGAGCCCCAGGAAGGTAAAGGAACATGGGATATAGGATAAAAGCCCAAGAGAACGGAGTCCACAATGGGGAACCCTAAACCCCTCAACCTATAAACTTACCAGTACTTAGGGTTTCCTTAATCTCAAAATTTTGAATTTTCAAAATTCTAAACACCAAACCGCCCCGAAACCCCAAGTAATGGTAATAAGCCCTAAACCCTAAATGATGGGGGTCCTAAGGTCCCCCTACCTTCATCCGACCTCTTGAGCCCGAAGTCTTCATACTACTTTTGGGGGCATGGGTATTAAGGGTTTTCGGGCTTACTTACCAAGTTCTCTCTCTCTCTCTAGTGGCTGACATGTCACATAGGACCTACATAGACCTCATTTTAGGATAGTTGGGCGGGGTCCTCGACCTAAACCATGTTCCCATGAAAAGGGACCTAATCTAAGGTTGAAGCCATGGGTGCATAGTATGGGCTCTTAACTTTGGGATCCTCATATACCTGCTATATACCTCATATGTACCTTCAAGGGTTCCTGGGATCCCCCCATATTAGTTTTAGGTTTAGGGTTTAGGGTTTAGGGTTTAACCTAAAACCTAGACCCTAAACCGTAGCCTTAAGGAACCTGCGAATCATCCCGGGTGCCGTTTCTGAGATTCTTGCGCAATGTGACGGGCCGACGCTAGCTTCTGGGAGATGTTTCTGTCAAGTTCTCGTGTGTGTGTAGATATAGAAAAACAGATGCAGACACACATATTGTATGGTCATTAGGGTTCCTATTTATATACATATACATTCATGCAGGAGATCCTATTATAAGAACCGCAAAATGTATTGAGATTGCAGGCAGTGGCTAATTGCTTGGGGCAGCCGGTCCTAAAGTCCACAATTGGTATTAGAGTTAAAGGTATAGCAAGGTTGAGGGTTTAGGAGTTTAGGGCCGAGGCTTTTAGGGCGCCAGGCTTAGGTTTCAGGGTTTAGTTAGTACCTAGTCGTGGCTCTTGAGGCGGGACTTTGTCAGTCCAGGAGGTTAAACAGTGAAGCCAGCTTTGAAAAGGCCAAGAAACAGAGCATGACCCCAAGTAATGAACCGGTTTAGGGTTTAGGGTTTAGGGAAAGGAAACACTTAGCAACCCCGCCTATGCCCGTTAAACCCCACCCAGGAATTATGGCCCCGTGGCAGGGGTTTATCTTTCTGAGGTCCTAAACACCAAGTCCAAAGCCTCACCTACACCCAAACACCCCTCAACCCCGCTAAACCCTGAACTCTGAACCCTAAAAACCCTAAACACTTTAAACCCCAAACCCTAAACCGCGGTAAGGTTTGTGCCCAGGCAGGGTGCATTGATTCAGGGGCCTTCGACCCCTTCGAGGCGCTTGCGGACGCTGTAGCTGACCCAGTCCAGTGGGGCAAATTTTGTTTTCAGGGTTCAGGGTTTAGGGTTTAGGGTCCCTAAACCCTAAACCCTAAACCCTAAACCCTAGGGTCTTGGGTTGGAGGGTTTTGGTTGTATAGGGCTCAGGGTGTACCGAGGCCCGAGGCTCCCCCAAGTACACGCACAAATAGGACCTACATAGACTTGATTTAAGCCTACACCCTAGACCCCAACATGATATGAGGTAGTTTTGGGGTGGTCCTGGAAGAAGTTCGGGTTTAGGGTCTATCGCGGCTGACCTTTTGATGTGTTGGGCAGTATGTAGCCTTATAGAAACCTAAGCTATAAACCTTCAAACCTAAACCCTAATGGTGGTACAGCTCACAATGCTGGACAGCTGAGGTAGGCAAGCACCCGAACGCCTGGCCCCTCTGTCCGAAGCTATTAGTGGTTGGGGGTTTACCTACTGGTGGTTAGGAGGGCAGACGGAATATTGTTCATATATAATCCCTGTGCAATATTATATTGTCTGGAGACGGGATACCATTATCTTCCCTTATTCCCTACTAACCCAGTAAGTTTAGGGTTCAGGTTGTCGGGTTTGGGGTTGGGGTTTACTTTACGGCTCTGGTAATTAATGGTCCTCTCCGGAGCAGCCCTTCGCGTCGCGGCTAAATGTGAATTGTCGTATGGTCATGGTGGAGACCTACAGAGGAAACATAATCTTGATAACTATCTACCTATCTATCTATCTATCTACCTATCTATCTATCTATATATATATATATATGAGCAGCGTTTTTTTTAAGTATGTAAGGGATATGATGGAACTGGTTCTATAAGATTGCTCGCGTAGCCTCTGGCCTGCAGGGCGTAGTTGTG